TACCAATGTATACCACACATTTTGAAGGCCCAAGATCAAACTGTTTGATTGATTGATTGATAAAATGTATTGGCTGCATGATTTTCTCTTCCTATGATGCCTTAGAAGATATAATCTTTCAGACAAACAATTGTGACAGAGCTTGGCTACATGAATATACTACCCATCCATCATTCTTTTGTTCATCTCAATATCTTAGAAGAGACAAGTCAAAAATCATGTTTTGTCAAGTGGAATCCCAGTAAAATGAGAAAAAGGAATAAAGTCCACTGCATCCTAAAACCAACTCAGTTTGGACTACTTTTAAGAAAGGAAGGTTATAGGGAACTGTTCTTTGGTTTGCAGTTTTCAAGAAAACCTGTGGAGAATAATATGCAGTGGGATTTTACAGAGAAGGCTGCCCGCTTGTGATAAACAGATGGAGTACAGATAACAGGTTTAATTTCTCCTATTCTAAACAGGGAAATTACCCTCAGGAGAGTTATTGAATTCCAGGAAATCTACAGAGGTCTCTTAAGAATAGCGACAGTACAGCTAACACTGATTTTGAGCTCATTCACAAGAAATCATATTGATTAGTAACTGTGGTACAATTTTTTAGGGGAAGGAAAAGGAGGAAAATGTTATATCTCCTAAATTTCATAAAATTATGGAGTGCATGGCTTGGAAAGAAAATTTTGAATCATTCAAACAAACCTCCATCAGTTCAAGGAGTGTAGAAACCACCTTGACACATGCTCCTCCATAATCTTTTAAATCCTGCAATGAATGGTATGTAGAAGAGTTCATTGTACCTCCCAGAAGTTATATAAATATAACTAACATATAACATGTAAATCACTTACAGAAGTTGGTATCATTCCTAGAGATGCTGTTTCATGGTTTAATAGTCTATATTGCCTGAATCAATGTATATTCTGTTCTGCATGAAGAGCTAACTTCCTTTCTTTTTGATTCAGAGCATGGAAGCTGATTCAACTTGGACAGCAGCCATGAGCAATGAGGGATTTTGTCAAGCTTCACCATAGCTTCCTCTCACTGTGGCTCTCTCCAGCACAATAATACACAGCAGTGTCCTCTGGTTTCAAGCTGTTCATTTGGAGATAAAGCATGCTGGAGGCATCTCGCCGGGAGATAGTGAAACGGCCTTTCACTGAATTGGCATAGTATTGGGTGTTCCCATCTCCAGGGTTATCCATCCACGCAAGCCATTCCAGGCCTTTCCCTGGAGCCTGTCTCAGCCAGTTCATCTCATAGCTGCTGAAGGTGAAGCCTGAACCTTGGCAGGAGAGACGGAGGGACTCTCCAGGTCTTCTCACATCCCCTCCAGATTCCACCAGCTGGACCTCCATTTGGACATCTGGAAAGGAAATATTGATGTGTACATTTTAACTATCCAGCATGGTGCATTCCATGAACCTCAAGCATATTGGAACCTGTTAGCTGCCATCTCTTTATGGAAGAATCAGTACCTTTGATGATTGTTAAAATGGAGACTATGTGGAGCAAAAATATCATTTTTCTTTCTCAGTGGAGAAGTTCCAGACAGACTAGCTTTTTCAATTCAGGTTGAGGAGGGTGGGAGATGATGTCATATAAAGAGGAAGGTTAGGCCTGTATTTACATACACTTCAGGATAAAAGGGACCAGTGTTGTCTTTGAATATCACCAAGAGTTTTGAAAAACCTGAAAGGGTGTATAAAGATAATGTTCACCATACTATATGAATTAACAAATTTATGACAAGTTCCGCATTATTTAAAGACCAGTTCGTCCCATTTCTGTATATGGTTCAATGGACTTTTGAAAGGAATCTTCCATTGAATGTAATTTAAGGTCCATTGCTACAGCAGAACACTCTTTTTATTCATGTTTTAATCCTCATGTATTAGAGTGAATTTCAAACACTATCATGAATACATATATTTTTATATTAATTTCCTTTACTAAC